CATTTGTAAATTAAAAATCATGAGACGCATATAAATTACCGTTACTACCTGGCTTTAGACGATCCCCAAATGAGTCCATCCAATCAAATTAATTTGTATTATAAAATGTATTATTTTTTCCTTTAATCCTTGCCAATCCGATGAAAATCGGGAATTTCGGGTGCGTACCAATTATAACAATTCAACGAAATAAAATATATGAATCAAATGATAATACCAAATTAAATACTGAAGTTTTAAAAACAAGACAATATTCCACGGGCAAAATAACCGAGTGAGGTTTTTATTCGTCTCTGGAGGAAACAATACCTAAAATCGAGTGTTTTTAAATTCAAAATATTCGAAACGGAGATTCAAGAAAAGCTAAAGGATCTTACAAATAAACTTTCAAATCTTTTAATAAATGATAAAAAATTAAGTAATATCACCAACGAAGAGACTTTTGTTACAGGCTAAATTTATATAAACCTTTAAATAATCAATAAAATACAACATTAAGACGGAATTTAGGTAAATTGCCAGAGGCGTGACGTGGTGATTGGCTGGAGGTTTTATTTTTAAATTATTAAAAGCCTTCTTCTATACGTAATAGTTCTTAAGATATTTGGATTTTTGCATTGTTTACCTGAAGTGCTTACTGCGATTCGGCTTACAAACATAATGTTAATATTTCGAACATTATAAATCGAAACTTAAATATTTTATATTTATTATGAATGCTTTGTCTTTTTTTTTCCTTACATGTTAAAATCACAATCCTAAAAAATGATTTTATATTTTATCATGGTCGAATAATTATTGCGCTTTGCAAAAAGGTGTGACCCCATGATTTTTGTGATGATGATCGAAGGAAATTTTAATTGACTATTGCTGAAAATCGTTTAATTTCCCGTGATTTTACATACATCATGATCTGCTAATCATAGTATATAGTTAATTAGATTAATTTTAGTCAACTAAACTGATTCCAATTCTTACTTATATATATAATGTTATAAAATCATGAGTTTATATTTTATGCCCCGAAAATTCTTTTTTCATAATTTTTTTTTTTTTTTACTTACGAATTTAAATAAAGATATTAACAAGCTATGATAATATCAAAATTATAGATTTATGATATTAAAAAAAGGTGCAATTAAATATTAATTTGCATAATTGATATATTATTTCGCTAAAAAAGCAAGAGTATCTCCATCAATATCCGTTGGATGTTAATTAGTTATTTTTTGTGATCACCTTCGAAAAAGTCAATAACACATATTTAAATCTCGAGAAAATGACAACTTGGTCATCAAATTGTTCTATTCTCTGTATTGTCTAAGGTGCTCAGGTTTAGCAAGTTGTAATGAAGCGTAAGTAGGACCTTTCTTCGGTCGTATATTTACATCCTTAATCCTACCTACTAATTATGTGACTCACTCTCATTACAGTGAACTTTTTGTGAAAATTTTTGAATTACGGCATTATAGTGAAGTATGCATAATATTCTCTAGTGAATATTTTTTCTCAACTAGATGATTTCACTATAATAAATATGAGTTGTATCCTTTTTTCTAACTTGATTGGATTCACCACTGCCTTGAATGAAGGTCGAAATTATATGCTTTGGGATCATCTATTGTTATACTATTTAATTTTTGTTGTCTGTACGCTTTGACATTCACGGTATAAATGCATATTGCATACATTATGAGCACAAAGGGAAATTACGTGGGTAAGTTAACCAAATTTGACTAATTAACATTTAATTACATATCAATTTATCTGTAATCTCGCATTATCTAATTTTAAATTTAAAAATTTCCAGATTCATCTGAAGCTAACTTTTGAATTCGTGCAATTTAAAGAATGTGTTAAAGATCCATATAATTCATATAATCCTAGTGTTCCGATTCGGATTGAAAAACTCGGATTGATCCGGGATTGAACCCAAACCGACTTGAATCCGAAGCCAATCCGAAGTATTTGAGGGCTAAATATTTCAACGTGGTCGATTTGGAATTTATATATTAGCGCAATGTGAAAGAAAAAACTGGGCCCAAATCTCAAATTAAGCTTAATCCGGGCAATCCGAAATTTTTGGCCCAACCCGATTTTACGGATGATAACCCGAATTCGTCGGATCCGGATTTAAAATTTAGGATGATATGCCTTAATCGTTAGTATAATTGTAAATACGAAATCCACTACATCCAACTCCAGCTTTACGAATACCAACCATGAATGATTTTCTATGATGGCAAACTCAAAATTTTATGGTCAGCGATGTTGTGCGACAATATGTGACACTTGTCCCTGATACCAGAGGCGTTGATCATCACTATAATTATAATGACAAGTGTTACGTACATACTAGTTTGGTATTCCAGTATTCGGAAGCTTTATAAGCAATGCATTTCAGCATTTTTGGATCAAAATTTTTATGAAAAAATAGACTTATGCGCACTTTTATCGAAAATTTCAGGAAAAAATGGACTTCGTGCAACCTTTTTTGGACTTTGCTATCAAATTAGCTTTGGAATCATTAAAGACGAAAAGAAGGCATTTGGATGGTATTAAAATACACTTAAAGAGGTTTTGGTGGGCAGTTTAATGTTAGACTTTGATGTTATGAATGTAGGCACTTCTAAAGTTAAAAATAAGGCATTTTAATGGTATTTAAAATCTGCTGAATGTGGAGATTTCGGCAAACAATTCAATTTGGAATTTACTACAATGAAAGCATAGGTATTTAAATCTTTAGAGAGAGAAAATTCTACTGCACAAGGTAATGTTGAAACCACCGCGTAGGCATTTCTAAAATTGAATGGAAGGCATTTGAATGGTATTTTATATTCTCTGAATCTGGAAATCCCAGTGGGCAATTCAATGTTGAACTTTGCTATCAAAATGGCATAAGCACTATAAGGATGAAGATTTGAATTGTATTATTTCGATGGGCAATTCAATTTTAGAATCGGTTATTATAAAAGTGTGCATTTCTAAAGATGAAAAAGAAAGCATTTGAATGCCGCTGAAGGTGGAAATTATTATGGAGAAATGCATGTCGGTAAAGATGAAACGCTTCAAAATCAATAAAAATAATGAATAGTCTCAAAAGAAAGGTTAATAAGTATAATCAAGACGCTTATGAATGTAAAAATTCTTATTAATTATTTTTTGAAAGAAGCTTTAGATAAAAAATATATATTTACTTCATGGATTCCATACAATGAACTAAAGATTCTTGAGAAAATTAAAAAAGGAGAATTTGCAACTATATTTAACTCGATGAACATCAAATAGTTTAGCGCAATTTGCTAGCTTAAATTACTTTTTATGAACCACAAAACAATCGTGAGGAGTCTTTAAAAGAGGTAGATATTTAACATTTGTTTAATTGGTTTTAATAATTAATGGCATATTTATGTATAAGTTATGAAATTGAATGTAAACACTCTATATTTTTTTGTGGTGATTACGTATTAGTCATGCAGTATGTGAGAAAGGTTCTTTACGTCACAATCTTCGCAAATGAAATAGAAAGAAAAATAAATATTTATCCTATATCACACAAGATTTTCAACTTCTCCATTCTTATCATATACAAAAGAATTTGCATAATGGAAACATACTGCAAGGTGATTCTCATTCGGTATATATTAGAGACTTTGAATTCGCTGAATCCTTTATTAAATTATCAACAAAATCAAGTCGTTCCATTCATGGCACCTGCGGTTATAATTAAAAGGCCATACACGCATTTGACGGTTATTCATTTGACAATAATGTGAAAAGTAAAACATGAATCAACTTTATTAGAATAATGGGTAAGACCAGTCGCCATTGAAAGCTGATGATGAAAAGGCGCTGGGACAGTAATCCAGAAAAACGTCTGCCAGCATTAAAAATTTATGAACTTTTCAATTTTGGAATGATGTTGAATTTCTGTTAAAATTTGAAGAATTGGAAAAATAATGTAGATTATGATTCTAATGCAATTAATAACAGTAATTTTGAAAATATAGAATCAGATTAGCAGTTAATTAATAGGCCATCTTGCCTGTATGTTTTGCGTTAATACAAATTTCTTTGTGCAAATTAAAATAGCTTGGCCAATTCTAATTATGAAACTAAAATTTAATTTGAAGCGATTAATTAATATATACTTGATAAATTATTTTTATGTAGTTTGCACAAAATAGTTTAATATTGTAATATATACAGTAAAATTATAGAATTAAATACTTATATTTCATAATCTACCATTTTTATTTATCTATGTCAGATCTTCGATAAATAATGCAATTTTGAAATTGCATTTTCTATTTTTTATACAATTAAATATGTATTTTAATCTTTAGTTAATTTAGGTTGAATTAATCGAGTCGTGCACAATAGATAGTTTGTTGATTTGCAAAATTTCTAATTAGAGATCAACTTTAGAGGCTCTTTTCATAAATATAAAAATTTAATTTTGGAAATCGGTTATCTTGGTTTTTATAACCTTGAATTAAATTCAGTTGATTCCAATTTTTACTAATAACCAATATAGATAGTTTAGTTAGTGTAGGGGACTCGATATCAAAATACATAAGTATTGTATAAGACATTGAATTCTTATTCTATGAGCATAAAGAATTTTTATAATTATAAGCAAGAAAATCAGACACGAAAGTATTTATATGTGCAGCAGAATTATATGCAATTTATTTTGAAACAATTCGTAACTCTATATAAAATGTTGCAAAATAAGGCTATTTTATAAATTTCATTGCTTAAGATCAATTCGATCAAAAGGAATCTCCGATAAAGAAAAGTAAATTATGAACTTTACATAAAAAAGTAAAACCAAGAACAGGTAATACACATTTAATGAGTGCAATAAAGGAAATTAAACCACTATCCACGTTAAAAGAAAATAGCCATCATAAAATTTAGGAGTATTATAAAATTGCGAACAAATATGAATCAATAAAAGGAGACATGTTAATTTGACAAATCGAAAGACTTAGTCGTCAACCTTTGATAGCTTTCTTCTTTGTTGCAGTAAGCCTGGTGGATCTAGTCTTTGGAGAAGTGGATCTAGTCCTTTGAGATGCTGAAGACTTCGCTGCTTTTTCAGTATCTTTTTTGGCCGATTTTGTAGCAGCGGAAGATGTTTTAGTACTTCTGGTAGTACCCTTAGCAGTACTCTTGGTAGTACCCTTAGCAGTTCTCTTGGTAGTGCCCTTAGTAGTAGTACTCTTGGTAGTATCCTTAGCAGCTCTCTTAGTAATACCCCTTGTGGTACTCTTTGTATCCTTAGTACCCTTCGTAGTATTCTTGATACTCTTCGCGGTAGGGGTCTTTTTCACAGTCTTAGGCTTAGAAACCTTCTTTGGTTTAGAAACTTTGGTCTTTGTTTTTTTAGCTGCTCCATCAGTTTTAGTATCAGAGACTTCGACCTTGTTGAGCTTGATAGTGCCCGCTGGACCGTTTTTAAATTCAAAACGCTTCTTTTCAACACCGTGTTTAAGTGCGCTGCGAAAAGTTGAGGGCGAAATCTCAAATTGGTACGTGTTCGTAATATATTTCTTTATAGCAACTCTACTACTTCCTTTACGATCTTTCAGAGCAATAATAGCTTCACGAATCATTTCTTCATAAGTAGGTCTCTTATGTTTGGTAACATTTGTTTTTGAAGGCATCTTTTTTTTTTGTTAAAGTGCAAGAAGGGATTGTGTTTGTCTTAAAGTTTTGTTTATCTTAAAATAATTTGAATCAAAACAATTTGATTTGTAAACAATATACAGTTATATATATACTGTTATTTCGGAAATAAACACTACATTAAATTGATAAAATTGATAGATGATGTCATTAGTAATATTGTATTTAATATCGATTAGATTGAATATATCAATTATTGTAAATTTGAAAAAAAAATTTTTTGTGGTCAAATGATATTTTAGATTGTTATTGATAACATTATTGTATAATTAAATTTATCTACGGCATAGCAGTTCTTTTAAAACAGTAATATATCAAAGGAAAACAAATATAGTATTAATTAAAGAGAAATGATTTGCGTATATCAGTTTCGTGTAACATCACGTATATCAATTTTTCTATTGGTGAATTATATGAAATTTTGAACAAAGGATCGATTTTCCGTTCACGTAATTTTCCGATATCAGTTAACCAATTAAAATTCGGGATCAGGTGTAACGTAAAAAAACGTTCGCTTTACAAAAAACCACATTTATCTCGAAATTTAGACTAGTAACAAAAAACTTTCTTCGCGCAATTTTGCTATACTAAAGCTTTCTCTAACCCTAACCCGAACCTAGATTAATTTTTTTGTTTGACTGCTATAGATACCGAGAAATCATGTGAACGGAAATTGATTCTATGCCCTGTCAATTTCTGAAATTTGAGTAAACACCTAGCCATGGCAAAAAAAAAGTTACTATCACATGATTTTAGCCAATCAGCGAAAATCAAAACAATAGAATAAAATGTAATAAATCTTATTATTAAAGTTATGGTTAGGTTGAAAATATTGCATGTTATATACCAAAATTTAGCAAGAAATTTTTTTTATTAGTATACAAAAGGCGGTTTTATAAGCGAAATTTTGAGTTATTGACGATTTTCAAAAAAAAACAAAAAGAACGCAATTTTTACGTTACACCTGATCTTGTTATCTAATTGGCTAGCTTCTAGAAATCACGTGATAGTAACTTTTCTTTTGCCATGGCTAGGTACTAAAATTTGAGTGATTTATATATGCATATGTGAAATCTTTTTATAGTAAATTGCAATAATAATCTGTTTTCAATTACTAGTTTCAAGAGGTTTATAAAAAGAAATTGCACTTGTGTAATATAGTGCAATAATTTAAAAAACTAAATACTATATTGTAATTAAGTTTAAAGTAAAATAAAAAATAAAATCAAAAAGAATCTTGTTTCCAGAGATAGTTTTTGTTTATATTTTGTAGTATTAGTAGTTTAATATTATATATATGAATTTTGCTATTTATCACCACTGGTGATCATCACCGGTGTTGCTATATCTCAAAAACGTACTAAGTAAATGGGATTGGGTTCTCTAAGTAAAAATGTTCAGGACCCCAAAAACCTCATGAAAACTAAGATCGGGCCCTATCGGGCCCTTATAGTAGTTATATATATTATATAAAAAAAAACAATAATTCTCTAATTTCTAACCCTAACCCTAACTAATATTAGGACCGGTGATGATCACCAGTGGTGATATGTAGTAATTTTCTATATATATATATATATATTAAGCAGTTATATTACAATTTTATTTTTGATATAGAGTTTTTATTTTGTTACAAATATGCTTTGCTATTTTTAAACTAAAGTATAGCTTACTTAGTTGCTATTAAGTATCTGCTAAAGTAGAATTAGCCTTGCTACTTCATCTCTATTTATTTTAAAAAATATAATCATAGTAATTATCACTACCTCTAGATATATTTGGGATTAGAATGCGGATATTAAGAATTTTTTTTTTATATAATATAATATAAAGCTAATATAAAGTTCTAATTTTAGTTTTTATAAAGTTTTTAGAGGTTCTAAATATTTTTACTTAAAGTATTTAATCTTGTTTATTTGGTATATTTTTAAGATATAAGTATTTTAGTAATAATTACTACTGGTTATAGTTAGATTTATTTTTATTTTAAATATTAGAATTTATAGTCTATTATAATTTTTTTTTAAAAAAAAATTTTACTTAGATCTTAGCAAAAAAATTATTTTTATAACAAAAGAAAAAAAATAAACTATTTTTTAATTTGTAACACAGATGAATTTGTTTATTTTTTTATTAAAAATTTTTAGCTATAATTTCTAAGTAAAATATTTAATTTTAGAAATTTAACTAATTTTAACTCTAGTTAAAATTATAAAATTTAACTATCTTTTATTTTTATAAAATTTTTATACTGTATAAATAAATTATTCTTTAAAGATTTGAGTTAAAATATAGATATATTAAGCTAAAATAGAATATAAAATTAGGTACTAAAAATTTTTTTTAATACCCAAAGTTAGTTTTTATAATAAAATTTTGTAATATTGATAATTTTTTTTAAAAAAAATTATTTTTTATACAAGATTTTGCAATTTGATTAGCAAATTGTAAAGTTGTTAATATTATTAGAAGAGTAAGTTAATAATATTTAATTATTATTATTATTATACGACAGAGTGAAACCAGAACTCCAAAATATATATAGAAAAATAAGATTTTACAAAAGTTACTAAATATAGAAAGATCTGCTAAAAAGGATCAAAAATAAGCAAACTAATTACTTTAATTGATAATCCATTTGTCACTTGGAGGGGATCTGCAAAATTTTATAAATAAAGTTTACTATTAACCCAAATGTGGCGGTGCTACATCTAAAACTTTTTTTTTTACTAAGACAATAAATCTTGTCAATTAATTGAAAGTTGTAGAGCTCATCAAGATGCATCTAATAGTGAAAAGCATCAAAATCGGCCTAGTAGTTTTTTTGAGATATCTTTAAAAAACAACTTTTGTACATATAAAATTCCTTTAATTGGTGATCCACCAGTCAACCAGAAAATGATTATAGTAAAAAGTAACTCAAATTACTTATAAAAATTGGGGGTCTCCAAATGTGGTGTGCACGCATCTAAAACTTTTTTTTATACTAAGTTAATCATCTTTCTAACTTAAGAGACTTTTGTAGAGCTTGTCAAGACGCATCTAATGGTGGT